ATTCAATTTGCAATGGAGGGTAATAATTGTAAACTTCAAAGCAGGTAAATACTAATCTCATCTGTTTTAGAAAGTAATTTTGGCAGTTGTGGGGACGATGGCTAGGAAAGAGAGGAGCTTAGAAGCAGAGAGACAATTAAAAGAGCTACATTTGAATGAACAGACAGATCCAGAGCCATGGATAGAAAGGTAAGGGTCCAAGAGATATTTCCCAAGTAATGAACCAACTACAGTATACATGAGAAAAAGGAAAAAGGAGGAGTTCAAAAAATGCTCTAAATTTAAGCAAATAAATGCATGGTGATGGCACTATCTGAACAAGAGAATACAAAAAAAAATTATGTTGGGAGAAAGATGTGAGAAGGAGAAAAGATAGATGAGACTGATATTATCCATATTTAACAACTCTATATAAATAACTACCTGAAAAACTATAAGCAGATAATATAAATTTCTTTTTTTAAGTAATATACATGGCTCACTGTTGAAATACATTAAGAAAATCTAAATATAGCTTAAAAATGCAGATATCCAGAAACAGCAATTGCTAATATTTTAGAGTATTCCTTCTAAATCGTTCAGAGTATATAACCCTAAATTGTGTTTTTTTTTTCCGTGACAAAACTGGAATCATATAAAACTCTGCATTTAGTTTTGTTCACTGTATTAAATTAGTATTTTTAGATACCTCTCACTGGTGAAGGAGAATTAACACCCCAAATTTAAGGAAAAAATGTGAATTTTAAAAGAACCACCAAATAAATCAATAACTATTGCAGTACATTTTCTCAAGTAACTTAATTAGGAGAAATAATATTAAAAGAATATTTATTTGACATGCTCTATAATAGATATTGATGGATTTTATAAACAAACAAAGAGACAACAGAGATGAAAAACAAGTTGTTCTAATGTTTTGAGGGGCTCTCAATATCAATGGACCATATATAGTTGTGAGGTTGTTGTGAAGCTCAAATGAATTAATACACACAACGCACACAGAATAGTATCTGACATATAATCACTGCTTCAATAAATATTGGTTATTACTACCACTATCATTAGTTCCAGAGGGTAGTAGTGTTTACTGCATGGGGGGAAATAGGCAGAAAAAAATCCACTAAGATATGGAACTGCATTATTTTTCTTTCATTTTCCTGTCTTTTCTACATTTATGTACTCCTTGGACACCACTTTAAGTGTTACAGTGAAAGTGTTATTTTTAAAAGCATTAGTAAATGTGCACCCTATCCTTAATTATACTATAAGATACTTGATGGAAGAACAAATTTTTCTATTTCTTATAAATTTTCCCTATATGGCACAGTACAATAATATGCACAGTAAATAATAAATATTAATGTCACAAATCCTTATAAGGAAACAGAATAATACATAATAAAAACAACAAAGCAATAAATAGAAACTGTGAAGATATTAAAAGCAAGAGCTCTCAAAGCCAATATCAATATACAACCATTCAAAGACATACAGAGGAATGAAAAAGTGAGGTGAAAAGTTTTATTAACACAATGAACAGACCACTCTCTCTTTGCCTTTCTCTGGGCACAACAATTTAGAAGGAATACCATAACCACTGAAATACATCTAAAAGAGAGCAACTGAGAAACAGTTGAAGAACTGAGATGCTCAGATAATGTAGAACAGAGAGTTTGCCCTCCTGCTCTCTTCCTCTACCTTCATCAATGAGAAAAAGGCAGCCTATGAAAAATAACTGAAGATTTCTCTATTGTCCAGAGGCAACTATCAAAAGATGGCTACAACAGAGATCTAGACTTCTCTCAACTCAAAACTTAATAGCTCTCTTCTAAACCAAAGATATTATGAAAGATTAGTCATGAAGGTATTCAAGCAAAGGCTGGAAAACAGCTTGCCAAGGATTCTGTGGAAAACATCCAAGCAAGGAATAATCAATTAGAATTCTAAGTTCACATACAACCCTGTAACCACATCAATGAATATTACTGAATACCTGCTCCAGGAAGGACATTGGACACTGTCCTGGACCTATAATATAAACAAAACAACAGAGAGAAACATACAAAGATCTCTGCTGCCAAGAAATTCATAACATAATATATAAAACGTATATTATAGTCTGAGACCATAACAGATGTCACAAAGCACTATTTGTTAATTGCCAAATGAATTCTATTCATATATAAAGGTCTTCAAAGAAGGAGAAAGCCCTACAGTTAAAATGCTCATAAAGGGCTTTTTAGAATAAAAAAATATGAGGTACTTGTGGGAAAAGATGGGTATGAAGGCTCTGAACAGGTAGAGAGAAGTAGGAAAGAGAGAACAGCACAAACAGAAATGAAAAGCAAGTTAGAAACCTGTTTGGCTGCATTAAAAACTTGTTTCATGGAACAAGAGCTAAGCTGAAAGGGCAGGTTATGGCCATAATCAAACTGTACTAGGCTTTGAATATCAAGCTTAGTAGTTTCAAATTTATCTTGCATAGAGCAACTGTATCAACTACTTGACTCTGCTGGAGCCATAGACAATGGTAAATAAATGGGGGGCATGGCTGCACTCCAAAAAAACTTAATTACTAATACTGAAATTTGAATTTCACATATTCCTATGTGTCAGAGTATTATTTTGATTTTTTTCAACAATTTGAAAATGTAAGAATCATTTTTCACTAATGAGCTATATAAAAACAGACTTTGAGCTGGATTTCGCCCAAGGGCCATAGTTTGCCAAGCCCTGAACTACACTAAGCTGTCTTCTTCAGCAGTCCTCTAAGGTACATTTGTCCTTGAGCTTCAGGGACCAGAATAATATATTACTCATTCAACATGCATGAATGCACACACCTAACCCAAATCTAGATCTAGTAGGGGGCAGAGGTTCCCTATACAAAGGTGCTCCAAAAAAATCAAAACAAAAACCAAAAAAATTCTCCAAATTGTTGATAAACAAATCATCAGAACGGAAGAAATTTTTTATTTTCACATAAGTAACTGTACTTAGAGAGTTACAAACTATTCTTACAGAGCCTCTTTGTTACTTAGATGAACGTGTAAAATAGAGTATAATCAAGGGGATTGTCAGTTCTAGTCCTAGCTCTGTCATTTACTCATTATGTGACCCTGAACAAGTCATTCTCAATCCTCTGGCCCTAATTTTCTCATCTGTAAAGTGAAGGGGTATAAATTACTAGATGACCACTGTGCTCTCTTCTCAGCTTTAGCACTGTATGATTCTACTCCTACTTAAAAAGACCAGAGAGGAGATGACAAACACTAGACAACAGTGATAATTGAAGACACAGAACAGAATAGAAAGGCACTGACTAAATCAGTGGGCAGAAAGGACAAACAGGTAGGAAAAAATACCAGAAAAGTACAGTATTACTAAAATCAGTGAATTGGGGGGGGGGGGGGGGCATTAAATGAAAAAAAAAAAAATTTAAAGTAAGAGAAGTAAGAAGAATTTAAGCAATATGGTCATCAAAAATTTTTTTTTTTAAAAAAAGAGAAAGAACTATAAGTTAGCTAGCTAAATAAAGGCAAGGACTTCAAGTGGCAGTCTCACGATCTGAGAGTACTGTGCATGCTTCCAGAAATCATGAGATGAGCCAGGGGCAAAGAAAAGACTGAAGATGAGTCTAGGGAACAGAAAATAAAGGTATATGGTGCAGAAAAAGAAAAAGAAAAAAACGTTGGGGTGAACTTGAAGCCTTGGGTAAGGGAATTAGTCTTAAAGGAGTGGCATTTTTATCTTTAAAATCCAAAAGGTTAAAAACAAAACAAAAAAGCAGCATAACAATACCAGTTTTCATGTTTTTTATACATCATATTATTCGGGAAATAAATCTAATGTTGGCCTTTTTTTAAAGCAGAGTTCCACCTATATTTTCTAATGGTCAAAAAGTTAAGAAAAATATTTATATCACAGATACATAATTATGTACATACATAATTTCAGTATCACCAAAGCTTGCTTTAAGTAACAACAAATTACTACAAAGCAACTAAAAAAGCAAATAAAAAAAAGGATTTTAAATGAACATCACACATAATATATCAAGATCCTACTACATATCTAATTTCAACAGGCACCTGCCTCTATATAAGGTATATGAGAAATAAAAATTCAAAGCATTAGACTGAAGATAAGTCAGTTATAAATACACATTTGTATACGCTGAAAATACTTATGAAGCCAACAGAGATACTATTAATATATTGAAATTCCCTGGCCAGAGCTGATTCTAACATTAATCTCCTACTATTCAAGAGAAGCCAAGAAGTCAAGGCTTCTCATATCACTTGCTTTTAAGAATTTAAGAAGTCACCCAAACTGGCATACACAACCCAGATTAACACAAAGTAGTTCAGCTCTCCATATGGTAATGCTAAACTATCTTTTACCTTTATGTGAAAGTCACATTTACTACTTTTCAACAATCTCCCGGTAGGCCCCGTTTGGACAGGCCAATAGCACTACCAACTAACAGCAGTTCATAAAAGTCTACAGTTAACTCTGCCCTCCCACAGACCTCAAGTTGGGTGTAGATTTCACAAGCCCTGAAAGTTATACACTGCCACTGTCAAAACCAGAAGAAGCACCGTCACCCTGTCGAGCCCATCCAGAACTGTCTCAGGATTGTTTCTCTGAAATTACCTGTCCTGGCTCAACATGATAAATAGGTACTTGAAAGGCCACCTTCTTCTCCCCCAGAGTGGGACCTGATTCCTTCCCGTTCGCTCCTTTATTTGTCCAGCCCCACAAACGCGAGGGGGGAGTTCTCCACTTCCCCGGCCCCCTCGATCCAGTCGGGTCTCCCAACTGCTCGCCGCACCCACCAAACCACCCCCCGCCCCAACACCACCAGCACCACACGCCTTCTCCTTATACCCGGGCCTGCACACGAGCTGGGCCCGCGGCCGGCCCCTCGCCCCGGCCTGCGCTACCTCCAGTGGCCGCAGGCCTCGGGCCGGGCCTAGCCTCCACCACTGGTCCCTCACCTCTTTCGGGACCAGTTGGTTCTCCTCTCCAGGCACCATCGCTCAGACTCCGGCCGCTCCTCTCCGCCCTGCCGGGGGAAAGAGGAGGTGGCGACGGCTCAGGAGAGAACAGCAGCAGCAGTCATCCTCTCCACCGCTTGCACTCCTGCAACCGCGGAGGCCTCAGCCTGGGCCTCAGACACAGCGCGCAGATACCGACCCACCGCTCCGCCGCCGTCGCCTTAGTTGTCGGCCCCTCCCCCAGCCCGCTGCAATCAATGGAAAAATGGCGGCGTCGGCTCTCGCGAGAATTCGGGACGTCAGGCTCCGAGCCCCGCGCTGGCGCCCAAGGTGCCGAGGCAGCTGTCACTCGCGTTTAATTACTTCAGCTCTTATACCCGGGGCGTACGAAATTGGTTGAGTGGCCACGCACACGGTTTTCGTTAGAGGGGTTCTGGACCGTCCGTCTCGGGACTCCCTCTGCCGGCAGGGAAAGGACCAGGCCTCAGGGTCCTCCAGGCGTGCTCAGGCTCTTACTCCCTGCCCACCAGGGGATGCTGGCTCCCGAGGCCCCTTCTCCGACCCGACCGCCAATACTGCTCTCCCTTCCGGTTAGAACGGGGTCTGAACTCCATCCCCTCGGCACACACCCTGGCCTCCCCCTGGACGAGGAAGCTGCACGGGCTCCCTCCCGACCTCGGCCCTCAGACGCAGCCCCCCAGAAAGGACTGCGTGCTCTCCCCTCCCACCCTCCCCGCCGGAGGATGGCGGCCCGCTCCCGAGGGGAGGCCGCCGCCCGTCCCCAGACAGGTGGTGTCACGTCTGCCCGCATACACCTCCCCTAGCGCTGCACCCCCGCGGCCTTTCAAGGTATTTTCTCCTCCCACAGGTTCAAGCCTGGGGCGGAAATGGCCTGGGAGAGAACGGCTGTTCGGAGTTGGAACCTAGGATACTCTTTTGAAATGGTTTAGAGGACTTTAATTCCCTCCGGCAGTAAGCCTTGTGCTCTGTCTTACTTGAACGAATTCTGCGGCCTTTTTCCAAATCCGACTCATTCCGCACAACTTTCCTTGTGTTAACCAATGTCACCCCAGTAATTCAACTTAACAAACTTTCTTTATGAAGACACAGTGGGGCGTCCTTCATGAAGACTTCCATGGATACAGTGATTTCACAGCACGCTGAGATAATAGAATCCTGCCATGTTCCTAACACCCACAGCTGCGCTCTCCAAGCTTTTTTTATTGTGCTCTATTACCAAAAAGAAAAGAAAAAAAAGTTTATATACTTATGTAAGTTACATACACATCCTGTTGGGTATGATATAAAACATTTTCAATGTAAAAAGGATAAGATAAAGATGAAATAAACATTTAAAGTAAGTAGAAGAGTTATTTTTGTATTAATGGTGCAAAAACCCTTGTTACTCTCAGTGAAAATATTTAGTGAAATCAATATGATTGACTAGGTTTCAATGTTCCTAAGACTTTAATATTTTTGAAAGTTATTAAAATGTCTGATTCAACCTTCAGGTTATTTCTGTACTTTATTTTAATGGCTGTCATAAGCTGAAAAAGATAACTCACAAAGATATGTAGATCCTAATGGAAGCAGTACATCTTTGCCTGCTCTTACTAATGCATTTCCATTTTTATCACTTCTATCCACCAACCATGAAAAGTTTTTGTTGAAATTCAACTGGTAATTTTCTGTTTTCCCTGTTGTCAGCCAGAAGATGTTGCGTTTTTATATTCTTAGCAAATGGGCTCAAAACTCTCTAGAATCATTGCTTGGAGGATTTTTAAATAGGTTGGAAAATTCTGTCTTTGAGTTTTAGGGCACATGTATGAGTTTTAATATTTCTTTATTTTTTTGTTTTTGTTAATCCTCACACAATATTTTTCCATTGCTTTTTTTAGATAGAGTGAAAGGGAGGGAGAGAGAGAGAGAGACATCGATTGGTTGCCTTCTGCACCACCCCAACCAGGGCCCAGGATTGAACCTGCAATTCAGGTACATGCCCTTGACTGGGAATCAAACCTGTGACCCTTCAGTCCATGGGCCCATGCTCTAACTGCTGAGCCAAACCAGCCAAGATAGTATGAGTTTTTTTTTTAAAGTATGAATCTTGTCCTTAAAATTTTTATGTTTTGTTCACTGCAGATTTTTGCATTAATTTTGACTTCTACAGTGTTGCATTAAGATAATTATTTGGATTACTGAGTTTTGGGGCTCCCTTAAATTGTACACCTGAGGTGAATAGTCTCATTTTTGGGGTAGCATACATACGTTATTTTTGCATCAAAATCACATAGTGGAAATGTTTCTAAATCTTCAATTTCAAAATGTCATTTTTACTACTTAATCAGACAACGGACTTCTTTAGAGCTCATGCTAGACATGTCATCTCTACTATTGTCATTTTTGTTTATGCTTGCTTTATGATCTCCAACTTATGTCTTCTTTCCAGAAATCTTTTTTAGCTCCTTTTATTTTATTGGGGGTTACTTCAAAGAATTAATGTAATTGGTAAATCTGCTTAGCCCAGAACACATAAACTGGAATAAGTCACAATATATTGAAAAGAAAAAAGAGAAAGAAATCCCTGAATTTTTCTCCACATTATATAACTTATACTCTTAACTCATTAATAGAGAAATGTCAGTGTAAATCTATATATTAAATATTTGTAAAAATGTTTATTTTTGTTCTTAGAAAAAAATATTTCTTAAAAGTTTTAATATTTTCTCCCCATGATCCACCTTCTCTGGTTACACACTCTTCTCTTAAGAGGCCATCGGCATGACTGTACTAGAGCCTGATAGGTTGATAGATATACAATAAGTATTTCTGGAATAAGGATATGAATGCATTAGTTGATTAATAAATGAACAAATAGAAGTGTATGGCTACTTTTCCTAGTACATAAAGGTACTGATGTTATATATATATGTGTTTATTTTACAGATGGATTTGACTCCAACCCTGACGTCTCCCATGGACTTCTTAAACTTATACACCCGTCTACCTTTTTGATGACTCTAAACATCTCAAATTTAACCTGACTTGAGCAAAACAATTGATTTCTAAGCCTCCCCTACCTTCCTCCTGCAACATTTGCTCTCTCAGTTTTCCTCACCTCAATAGATTGCACCATCAATTTAGTTTATCAAGCCAGAGAGAGAGAGAAAGAAACATCGATGTGAGAAAGACACATGGGTCGATTGCCTCCTGCACCCCAACCAGGCCCGGAGGTCCAACTTGCAACTCGGGTACATGCCCTTGATTGGAAATTGAACCTATGACCCTTCTGTACACAGGCTGACACTCTAACCACTGAGCAACACTGGCCAGGTTTACAATGAACATTTTAAAAAAATATATATTATTGATATTTTAGAGAGAGAGGGAGGGAGAGAGAGATAGAAACATCAACGTGAGAGAGAAACATCGATCAGCTGCCTCCTGCACACCCCGAACTGGGGATCGAGCCTCCAACCCAGGCATGTGCCCTGACTGGGAATCGAACTGGCACCTCAGTCCATGCATGGGACAATGCTCAGTCCACTGAGCCACATCAGCTGGGCATACCATGAACATTTTTAAATACACTTTTTATTTTAGATAAGTTTTACATTTGCAGAAAAAAGAGCAGAGAGTCCACATGTACCAGGTTCCCCCATAGTCATTTAGCTAATGAATAAATCTTATTAATCGCTCAGCAAAGTTTCATTTCATTTCTTCTCCACTTACATAGTATCTTCCTGAAAATGCTTAATTCCTTCTTCTTTTAAAATGACTTTGAAAAGAAATTCAGCTATTAGCACTGAGATTGAAGAAATCAATAAAGTGACAGATCTTAGCCATGAGATAGGCTCTTTAGTTACAGTAGAGTTGAATGTAAAATTAATCAATGGCTGATATTTGTAATAGAAATGACACCATCAATACGGAAACAAGGAAAATCAATTTGGGAATCTATTTCAGTGACTACTTCCACTACTGCAAAAAAAAAAAAAAGTCATATATTGAGTAGAAAACCTAGTAAACATTAAAAAGATTACTAACTATAGGTGTAAAAATAAGGACAGGAAATATGATACTCAAGAAAATATAATTCAGGAGAATCCTAGGAACATGCGCAAATATTTTTATGAAGCAATCGAGTGAGGACGTCAGTGGAGTTCTCAACCCACTTTGTCCGCAAAGAAAGATTGATTCAAGGACCTGATATAGCATTTTTCTATTGACATAAACTAAAAAAAAAATATTGCTATAGGCATGCTTGCCTCTTTCTGAGCTGAAGAAATTCATAAAAGAAAAGGTTTATAGGTCACTATGTTCCACAGCATACAAAGAAGTTCACGTCAACAGAGAATGCCTTGGTAAACACGGAGAAGGAAGGAACACAAATATCAGACCTTAGGGCAACCAAAGCAAATTGGCCATGACTCATCCTAGCTTGCTCTAGGATTCTGCAAACACTCAAATTTCAAGGTCCAAAACAAGGAGCAATAAAATAAAAGTTGGAGTCCTATGTTAATCTTTTTAAATGATTATGTAAGACCTTTGCAATAGAGCCGTATTTATAAATGTGGCGTTTGAGGAGATCTCAGTATTCCTTGAGAATATCAAGCATTTATTGTAAAATTACTGTTTTGAATTGTGAGGGTGAGAAATAATATATACAATTTTATAACAATATTGTCATGGAGCAAAAACAAAAACCAGAAGTGTAAAGAAAAATATGTTACTTAAAAAATTTTAGGCCCTGGCTGGATAGCTCAGTTGGTTTGAGTATCCTCCCTAAACTCAAAATTCATTTATCATTGTAGAGTCTGGAACTGATTAACTGCAATAAATCAGGGACAACTATAATTTTTTTAACAGGGAACATGTGTGTCTTATAGAATTTTAAAACAACTCATTTAAAAAATAAGGTATGAAAATTGACTAACATGATGACTGACACTTTGTAGATGCTCAATATTTGAAAACTTTTGTGGTCTTTTATTTTCTGCTTTGATTTGCAAGTTCTCTACTATATCACTAATAACAATTGTCAATTTTTATTGACTATTTACTATGGTTCAGGCCCGGTGTTAAATACTTTATACATAGTATCTCATTACTTCCCACAACATTCCAAGTTGGGTTCAACTGTTACTCACACTTTACAAAAAATAAACAGGAATAAAGAAGTTACGTAACTTGTCAGGGTCACAAGGCTAATAAATGGTGG